TTCATAGAAGGATTTTCATCCATAGACTCTCCATTGACTAAGTTAATTCAGAAGAAAGTTAAGTTTTAGTAGTCAGATGATTGTAAGAAAAGCATTGCAGAACTGAAAACTAGGTTGACTAGAACTTGGAGGGTTTAGACGGTTATGTTATCTGTTGTGATGCATCCAGAGTCAGCCTCTGTTTTGTATTAAGAATCGGGTAAGGTTATAGCTTATGCTTCTAGACAGCTTAAGTTACATGAGAAGATTTATCAAACTCATGACCTCGAGCTCGCGATAATGGTGTTTGCACTTAAGATTTGGAGACATTACTTCTATGGTGATCACGTAGATGTGTTCACAGACCATAAGAGCCTTCAGTATGGGTTCCTTTCACCCATTAGGTCCCTAGCTTTCATTTATAATCTTGACTCCGTGAATATTATCTAGACCTAGGGTTTCTTGAATGTTAGAAATTGTTAAGTTTAAGCTGTTACAATGATCCAAACCAAATTATCATGTTTGTAGTATCGTTTTTGCTTTGATTTATTTATAAACTCTAAACCCTATCTATGTAGTTATTTTAGTTCATGAATTAAAACTTTTAGGTCAGATATACATGCCCCAAATTTAAATGTTTCTGTAAATGTTGCATCTTAAGTTAGCATGTCATTATTTAAAAGCTATCTAGTATTACAGAAATTCAGTCACAAATTTTTAACTACATAATCAAATGGGAGATGCTTAATACCGTGTGGATTAGGGTCAATCACCTTCAAGTTTCAGAACTACGTGCCTCGTAGGTTGTATGTCCCCTTTGTGGGCATCCTTTTAGTGATCATACCAGCCATGCTTCTATACCTCTATCCTGACATTTGGGCCTTCTCGGTAAGGAGTATGCATTAGACTCCACACTTAGCTCATGTGATTTTGTGTCGGCTATTAGTAACTCTCACAGTTCAGTCAGATTCAATTGCATTAACCATGTTAGCAATTATAGTTCAAATTTCAGTTTCGGCATGTTATAAACTTGGTCATTGCACTCAGTTATTTCATGATTCAGTATTCTCAGTTAGTATCATACTTATCTCATATTATTGTTCAGATATTATTCCTTGGTTCAGTTATGTTATTGTTCAGCTTTATTTCATCATGCATACTCAATAACTTTCAAGTACTAATGCATACTTTGCGCTACATCTTCTCGTAATGTAGGTTCAGGTTCTCAGATTCCAGGTCAGACTTGTCGGTTCTCGATCTTCAATTAAAAAGAATCAATTATGGGTTCTCATTCTTCGAGGACGACTGGTACGATTGTCTTCCTTTACTTTCAATTTTAGTTTCAGTTTTTTCTAGATTTAGTTGGGGCATGTCCCAACACTTCTAGTAAGTTTAGAGGCTTATTTATGACATATTTACATTTATCTATGTTGTTGGAGTTCAACTTTTCAGGTGTTCTTTAACCTCTCACTTTTATACTTCAGATGTAGTATATGGGTATTTCCCCATCATTTCTGATTACCTCATGATTTAACTTCCGCACAACATTTATTGATTTAGTATATCTTTAGTAGGCTTATGACTTGTCAGCAGGGTTAGCTTGGGGGGACTCATGATCCTAGGTCTTGTGTCCACGTCCTAGGGGTATATTCGGGGCGTGACAAGTACGATTCAATCAAGACGTGTGATACCAAAATATGGATTGCATAAATGTTGTTTTGTTATCCATTGAAAGTAAATCATAAATTCGTCATACTGAGCATAATATGAGGGCTTATATGAATAGGTTGATATCATAAGGATGAGATAAGTTTATGGATTTAGATTGAAATCATTGAGATAAGTGTTTGCCCTTCATTATGGGAATCGAGCATAGATGTGAATCTATTTCATGTGTATGAGCATAGTTCATAGACACAATTTTGATATTAGAAACATCAACAAGATGTTGTAATGAATGAATTTTGAGGAATACACTAGAGTATGCATGGATTGATATATCTCTAAATCTTTTTTTTCAACACATTGCTATCTAATTTTTCACACTTGACTTTGTTTCTCATCTTATCATCTGCCCCTTAGGTCTAAAGGTGATACTTTAAAGCTATAAATTTATTCCATCATCTCTAAACTAGTCTATATTTGCTTTACTTACTCAGAAAATGTTAATCTTATGGCTACCAAACTCTCCATGTGCATGCACTAAGATTAATTCTAAGTCTTCTTCCTTGGATGCTTCTCTAACTCCTTACGACTTTTAAGTCTTAAGGAAAAACAATAATCCTCACATCAACTTATTCGTTATTGACAACTCAAATATACTATCTAGGTTCATATATAAAGTCATAAACTTATAGAAACTATACATATAAAATTGAGTTACTTTAATAATGCCGTTGATAAAAGTTGCTCTTATTTCAAATGTCATAAAATATTCATTTAATTATATTTAGATAATAACTATATATAATATTATAGTATATACAACACTTGAAAACTCAATATATGTAGTAAACATTATTCATACAATTAATTAATCATTTAATTTTAAGAGACTATATAGTCATTAGTATATTAATAACTGTTGTGGTTTCTCCTTATAGCTCATGAAACGTGTATTTTGTATCTCATAGACTTAATAATGTCTATTTACTATTTCTTGAACTTTGTATCGTTTCTTTAGTGCTTAACTATATTTATTTAATCTCAATGTTGAATTTCTTCATCTTCCTATCATTATTAAAATATGAACTTTTGAAGTGTCAATGTATATATAATCAATCAAAGATTTATTTTCCTGATAAAATTAACTCAACTTTTTCATTCATTTTCTCCGTACACGAAGAGTTTAGAAGCTATAATCAATATTTAGCATAATTGAGCTTTTGATGATTTAGTAGTGAACCAACGGATGTAATCCTGATGGCCTAATATATGCTGCTTCTTGGAAATGTATTTGGTATATGAAATGAAGTTTTTTGTTATTTTCTTGTTGCATCTTCTAACCAAAATAAAATTACATACTTTTGAATAGACCTAAAGATTATGTATGACATTCTAAAGATAGTGAAGTTACTGGACATGTATGGAAATAGCATGGTTGTCTTGAATGTGGTACATCATAATTTATATACTTGAGCCTTTTTTTGTTGGTAAAAAAGCAAGTTAGTCCTATTTAGAATAATACATAAAATTAGGCATGCATAAATCTTCTAACAATAACAATCTTTGGAAACATGATGAGTTTGAAGATACAAAATTAGGCATGTACAAATTTTATGAAAATAATAGAGGATAATGTGCAATGCACATTCCGAAAGACTAGTGAAAGAAAAAAAATAAGAAAGTTGAATAATGATAATCAAAGAAGTCAAAAAATATTTTTTGTATGAAAAAAAATATATATACTCTTACCGTTGTAGTAGAGCTCATATATACCCTTCATATGACGTTATTGAAACAAATGGTTTTATGATTCTTTTTACTTTAATTTTTTAAAAGAATCATGTAGGTGTGTGTGTGTGTATATTCTATTAAAACTATTTTTTTCAACTACGTCAGATGAAGGGTATATATGAGCTCTATTATAATGGTAAGAGTATATGCGAGTCATTTGTATAATAGTAAGGTATATGTGAGTCGCTTTCATAATGAGGGATATATTTGCTCTAAATGAAAAAGTTAAGGGATATATCAAACCCTTCTCTGTTATTCTTACTAAGAACTGCTAAAAATGACGCACAGAAGAGCAACGAACTGCATCGCTCCAAAAACGACATCATTTGCCACACCGTCTCTCGTTTTTTAATAAAAATATTATTTTAAAATTAATTTACAAAAAGCGATGGACGGCATCTCTTAGTTCGTCTCTTTTTTAGCGAATTTTCGCATCAAATATACATAAAATTAATAATTATTTATTTAATATAAATATAGACGTAAGACGCTTTTAATTAAAAAGAATATATATATATATATATATAAAGGTTGCCCAGGCCCAACAAAAACAAAGTTACCGGAAAGGTTATTACAATATACGGAAAAGGGCCTAAAATACCCTCAAGTATTGAAAATGATACAAAATTACCCTCCATCCATCTATTGGCTCCAAAATACCCTCCCCACCCACCTATTGGGTCCAAAATACTCTTGTCATCAACCTTTTGGTTCAAAATTACCACTTATTAACGATTTTATATTTAAACTATTTAAATATTTTTTAAATACGTGACGCTCAACTATTTGTTATAATTTAACTTATTAGTATAATTTATAAATCAATTAACTACCCACCCATTACCAACTAAACCGCTCTAAATTAATAAACCCGTCACGTTATTAATGCAACAACAGAAACGCTAATGTCAATTGAGTGTTTTCAAAAATTTGAGGCGAAAATATCTATAGAAGTAAATTATCATACATTCAAGTGTCTAAATAAAAATTATCGATAAACTTAAAAGTCTCACTATGTTCATCTCAATTATTTTTACGTCTCAATTATGTGATGTTACTTCATAGGTAACTTTTTTCCAAAGTAATATATTAAAGATTTTAAAATAAAACATAAATATTTATAAAATTATATTTTAAAAAATGCATGAATTAATTCGGGATGTATTGTTTTTTACCTTTAATCATAAATTTCTAATTCAATTTTGAGAGAGAATCCTATTGAAAGTGTCCTCCTACATAAGCGGCTCAATATAAATTTAATTGGGGCTTCGATTCGGACTCGAATAATTTTGGATATCATTTTTAGGAATCTATAATTTCATCGTGTTTTAATACTGTTAATGACTATTTTGATATTATAATTGGATTATTAATTGGGTGGGGTTAGTTAGTAATGGGTGCATAGTGGGTTGGTTTATAAAACATATTAATAAATTAAATTATAACCAATAGTTGAACGTCAAGTATTTTAAAAAATATTTAAAAAGTTTAATTTTAAAACAATTAAAGAAGTGATAAATTTTGAACCCAAAGTTGGATGACAAGGGTATTTTGGAGCTAATAGGTGGATGAAGAGTAATTTTATACCATTTTCAATAGTTCAAGGATATTTTAGGCCCTTTTCCGTACAATATATTATGCTCATAAGTAAAGGGAAGTAGTTTAGTGATTGAGTTGAGTATGCATCTTGATCAGTCTGCAGCAGGTAATTCGTTTGGGAACAACCATTTTGGAAATGAGGGACAAAAAAGGATTGTAGTAGTATTGTTTTAGAATGAAAACTTAAACTTATTTTTGTCGTCAGTAGGCATAGGCAAGTTGAATCAACTATTTGACATAGTTTGAAACGCCGACTTTTCATAAGGCATGTACAAAGTGTAACATTTGTTGCATTGCATGAACTCCAACACTGGTAACCCTGCAAAGATGCAAGTGAAGATGTATTAGGCATAAATTTTCGCAAGAGAAAGTGTTTTTATGGTTGCTACATGAAATTAAATTGTATACATTGCTTTTGAGATTCAATCTACAAACTCACAAATTTAGCAATGATCTATGAAGAATTTGCTTAGACCCATTCAAGAAGTTGGGCTCTAGAATTAACATGAGGAAGAATGATGTAGACAAACTGGGTTGAAATCTTCTCCTGTGCTTAAATTATACTTATGACGACTAAAACAGAACGAAGCATGTAGAAAAAAATAATCAGGTTGGTAAAGTGAATAAGGAGGTAGTTAATTCATAACAGTTTTGAAATTAAATGCAGAAACTCACATCTCAAAATCAAAGGATATGAGGAACAATAATTACTTAAATTTACTCAGAGGAAGGAAACGTTAGTACTTTCATTTTTTTAAAAAGGAAAGACATTGTCAATAAACTTAGGCTAAGACCAACTGCAAACAACTTGTGTATTATTTCCTTATACTTATCATGGTCATCTATGGGCACATAGTAAAAGACAAAAGCTATAATGATCAAGGAGCAGACTAACCATTAAAAATAGATGGTTTATCAACTTGGCTAATAACACACCGATAAATAACATTTGCCTCTTGAATGGACTTGTTTTGCTTACTAAAAAAGGATTAGACTATATATAATACGATTAAAGCTCTCGTATTATCGATTTTCAACTTAGAATGGTGAATCATGTGATGGTGCCAGGGAATGAAGGTTAGATCAAAACATCTTGTTCAAACTTATCTTGTTGTATTTTGAAAAAGAATAGGTTTCTCCCAATATACACTGACCTGCATCTTCCCTGTGGGGAGTAGTAGTTGCACTCACTGCAAAGAAAGCAGAAGAAATACGCAAACATCAAATAGGTTGCATACTTATTCATATAAGTTCAAAACAACATATCTAGTTTTATTATGTGCTTTAGGTAGTCTTTCAATAGAGTAAAGGTCTAAAAAAAGTCCACTATATTTGTTCTCGCAACTACTTCATAACACAAATCTCCACAGTACTTGATAACTTTATAAATTAACATTCCTGTCAATTGTACGAAACGAATAAAAATGTTACTTTTGAGATATCATGACATGAGTGATTTTCAGATTTGCTTCTTCAAAACTATTCAAGAGTTGCAGGCTGAAAATCTTACAGCGAAATGTGGATTTTTGAGTAGCAATAGAAATTTGCAGAGGAAAGTTTGATGAAGTTAACAAAATCAAAGTGAATTGTTACCTTAGCTATGGAAAGGCTCTGGGAATAATTTTATTACACACTATATTATATAAATTTCAACAAAATCTAATAATAGGACCTTGAGTTTGTAGAGAAGAAATTGTCTACTTTTAAGAGCTGAATCCTATATCAAACTGAGAAAATCATAGGAAAAATTGAAGGCTCAGTAAATGTCCAAGTTAGAATCTTACACATGATGATTGTCGATATGAGATAAAGCGCAAAAATACAAAAATACATGAAGTCAAGAAAGGCTTAAAAATATAGAGAAACCCAAAGTCAAGTTGAAACGAGAAGTCGAAGAGGCCTCGCTGGCAAGAGAATTACAAAAGGATTGCGAAATCAAATAGCAGAGACCGAGTTAGGGAATCAGAATCAAAGAAACGAAAAGACCCGTGAAATTTGTGTAAAAGACGCTCACCTGAAATATCTAGGAAGCAGCGACAGACTCCACCAACGTGCAAAATTGAGAGCAGGCGAAGAGGAGAACCGAGAATCGAGGTGCGAAGATGACGGTGTTTGTTGACGCGTGGCGGTGCTGCACATCAAAGGAGGCATGATGCAATATAGTAGAATTAATATCAATTCATGTGAAAATTATGTTCACCTGACACAACTATGAACGAGAAGAGAAGAAGAGGAGAGTAGATGGACGAGTTGGAAACCTAAATAAGCCATAAAAGTGTAAAAATGATTAAGCCATTATTTTAGTAAATAAGCTTAGTGGAAAAAAAATTTATTTTATCTAATTTTTTAAACGTTTTCTGTTAGTGTCATAACTTATATTTTTAATGTATAATGGAATTTTTTCTTACACTTTATAAAGTGGAACTTTTTCTTCCACTTTATAAGAGGAATATTTTTCACGTTTCGAAAAAGCTTTTTCAGTGTTGTCATACAATTATATTGATTTGACATGTCATAAAATGGAAAAAAATAGTACACTATGTATTTTATTTTTTTAATTCTGAAAAAACTTTCAATCTCTATTTAAGGTCGTTTAAAATGATTGATATCACCATAACATAAAATCTTCTATATTTTGTTCATTCAATCTAAAAAAAAATGTCTTCAACGCCTAAAGTTAAAGTTTCAATTTATTGGGATGACGAAATTATACATGACGGAAATACCGTTTATTATAATTGTCCTCCCAAACACAATGTTAAATATCCAATTAATGTTCGATATCATAAATTCATTTCATCAATTTATAAAAGAATGGATATAAACAGTACTGATTATAATTTGATTATAGTCGGAAAATACCCTACTTCATTTTTATCACAAGGACAAGTTAATTTTGGAGAGTGGATTATCTATAATGACGAATCGTTGACCGACTTTTTGAGGGTTCCAAATGACTACATAGATCAAATCAAGTTAACAATACTTGAAATCTATGTTAGGAAGGAGCCTAAGATTAGTCAACAACGTTCTCATTTATCAGTCGATGTGAATCCCCAATTAGAAAATCGTAATAGCGTTGATGAATTTCCAATAATTCAATCTGCTGATTTTCCTAACATGACTCATTATCAAAATATTCTTACCGGCAGATATGATTTTGATTTAAATGAATCTATCAATGAAAGTGATCGGTAATGCTCAATAATTATATTTCAATCATTATTTGTTGATTTTGTCAATTATTTATTAGTTTTTATGATTTATTTTTCTTATTATTATATATTTTGTAGTGGTTTACCTCAGCAAGATAGGAATATTGCTCCAAGTTATGGATTAGATAATTATTTTGGTCAGTCATCACACTTTGAAATGACGGAAAATGTTGGGACATCCTCAAATTTTCATGTCTCGCCTACTTTTGGTGCAGATGATTTTCAGTATGTTCAACGTTTGATTTTTTTTCATTTAAGTAAGTTAATTGCATGAGCGAAATATTTATACTTTTTTACATATATGGAAAAAATATTACACAAGATAAACCCATTGATCCTGTGAATATCGATGATTGGGACCTTCTTAATTATGGCTCACCTTCAGCTAGTGATAGTGATGATTTGCCTAATGTTGAGGAATCAGGAGATAATGTTCCATTTGAGGCATCATCTAGTGATGATGATTTTTTGACTCTCAATCGATCTCCAAGACCAATGTCCATGAGCCCATTTCGTAATTATGAAATTCCTTATCTTGATCATCTCCCAGATGGTTCAGATATCTTTGGTGATACATATGATGAGTATACATCACAACGTACGTGGCATAAACCAGAAGATTTCATGAATGGTGTTATTGAAAAGGCATGTTATTCAATTCAAAGAAGCAGTTGCAAAGAGCAATTAAACTTCTACATTTGAAAGTAGCAAGGGAGTACTTTGTTATTAAATTGACAAAAAAATCATGGCGACTTGTTTGCAAGCGTGTAGAACAAGGATGTCGATTTAGGTTGACTTCTTTTATTGATAAACATACTAACATGTGGAAAGTTGGAAGGTATATGGAAGAACATACATGTGATATGGGTACATGTCGCGAAGGACATTTCAACTTGGATGTTGAGATGATTGCTAACGTCCTCCGTGTTGATATAGAAAGAACACCAAGGTACTATTTTATCCTTAGATGATTCTTATTTAATAAGAAAATATTCATTTTTATTTGATAATTAATATTATTATTACTTTTTAGGTTTCCCATCAAAGATTGTTAAACAACCGTTCTTAAAGCATATGACATTTCGATAAGTAGAAGAAAAACCTATCTTGGTCGCAAGCGGGCTTTTCAAAAAGTCTATGGTACTTGGGAGGGTTCTTTTGTTGAGTTACCGAGGTTCATGGAAGCTTTGAAACACTTCAATCCTGTAACAATAGTAGAATGGAAAACAGAGCGGCGTGTCGATGTCATTGAACATGTATTCAACTATTTGTTTTGGGCTTTTAAACCATGCATTGATGGGTTTGTGCATTGTCGTCCTATTATATCGATCGATGGAACACATGTCTATGGAAAATATGATATCAAGTTGTTGATTGCGATTACAATAGATGGTAACGACTCTATATTACCTTTGACATTTGCAATAGTTGCAAATGAGAGCATAGAGACATGGACTTTATTTTTGGATCATTTGCACTTGCACATTGTCAAGGGTCGTAGAGGGGTCACGTTGATATCAGATAGGCATCACGGAATACTCTCATCCGTGTATAATTCTCCGAATTGCAGGCTCCATTTGGGTTTCATTGTTTTTGTTTAAGACATTTTAAGGCCAATTTTTAAAAAAAAATTCAAAAATATCATCATGTGTGGATGTATAATATGCACAATGAAACTGATGGTGGTTTGAAACCTGAGTTAACGTGTTAGAGATTTTACTGAATGTACAGTGACACTTGACATTCTCAAGAACAATGGATTGGTTAGGTTTCCTTGTATTGCATGTAAGTGCTGAAAATTTTCTACCCCAAATTCAATCATAGTTATTTTCAATTATTCAAATCAAAACCCCAAAAGTTCTTCGTCTCCCAAAATTCTCTCTCTAAGTTCAGGGAGGAATAAGAAGAAGAACTCATTGAAGCTTGAGTTTGAGGATTTCTAGGTTTTTCTTCCTCGGTTTTCTTCAAGGTATCTTAATAAAGGTATGGTGATCCTTCATCTAGGGATAGCTCTCAGCCCTAGAGTCAATTCAAAGTTCCTAAGTTCATGATAAAATTAGGGCTTTTACTCAATAGCATGGTTCCTTTACCAACCATTTTCAAAGGTTATTAATTGGATATTATGATTGTATTAGTGTTTAATTGATGATTTATGATGAAAATACTCTATGAACCCATGAATTTTCTCAATTCATAAATTGTGCTTTTATGAAGTTGGTTAGTTGATGATGAATGCATGTGAATACAATTGTCTAAGTTTCTTTAGATTATTGAAGTATATCATTACACATGCCTAATTGTAGTAGAATATTGGTGTGTTATTGATTGTGATTTATGGCCTTGAAGGCAAGTTATGATCAATTACTTATTGAATTAGAATTGTGAATTACATGTTGATCCACTTGAACGATAGAGGTGTTTATTTACTATGCATATTGTGGTGTTGAATTGATGATTATTTTCCTTGCACCTCTATATTCGTGAAGGATATATGAATGATCATAAAGTGAAGTATATGTGTGAGCTCTATGAATATATTATGATAATGTCAAGGATGTAAAAGTGTTATGATTGAAGTCTTATTCTTAATTAATACTGACTGATTTTTCTAAGATTATGTTAATGAAGAAGTTTTAGTCGAAAGGTTATTCTGAATTGTACACTAATGAATAAATATAGGATTCGAGATGGATACTCATCCATAAGTTGAGGCAGAGTGTCTAGTAACAATCTCAATTTCCCTTCCTAATGAATGATAATGACATGTTCTGAAAGGACTTTATCAAAGTATGGGAATTCTTAGTTTAAACAAGTTAATTACAACAATATAATCATTCAATGTCTCGAACATATACAATATTGAATGTCACATGATTTCACAATTTCACATTTATCACAAGCATTTCAAGTTGTTGGGTCCTCTCATGGAACCCAAACATAGACTATTAGTGCACCAGAACGTGGTACCCGATCCAATAGTTATGCTAACGTGACAATCCGATTCTATTTATGTGGGATCATGACAATCTGATCCAGTTAGTTGTGCCAAAACATGGCAATTCGATCCATCAAGACAACACAATCACAAACACAAGTATTCTTTCAAGTCATACAATCATGAGTGATTCATGACATATAATTATTTATATATCTCATTTTCAACAAGTGTTAATTTCAACAATACAACTTTCGTATACATGTATACATCATAATAAAATAATAACAATAATACATCACACAATCAATAGAATCACAATCATAACCTACCTCGAAATAAGCTTGAAACCCTAAGAAACTTGATCCTTCCTTTTCAGATTCGTTCCGCTTGTTTTTGGTCTACAAACAATCAATGTAATACGGGAATCAATAAACAATCACTAATTACACGGATTACTAACAATATATCAACCCTAGATCAAACTCATATTCCAATCATCTAACTTAGGCTTGTCTCCACCATAGAATTTATATCAAAGCCCTTTCCCATAATTATTAACCCATTCTATTACGTTTTAGGGATCGAGAAACAAATTCAAGGAGTGAAAATCTTACCTTTACCTCAAGAATGGTGGATAACAAGTAGGAATCACTTGAAGTCATGCAAATTCTTTAAAAAGTTATCTAACTACTCATGCAATCAAAATTATAAATGGTTCACCTGATTTTTACCAGATTTCCCTACACCTCAAAGACGCTGATCTTGTCCAAATCTAGACTAGGTTGAGAAAAATTCAAATACTACGAAAAAGTTTTCTGACCCAAAATTTCCCCCATTAGATTTTCTAGAATGACATAACCTAGTTATTACAATAGATACGAACTTACCATCACTCATCCGCGAGTGACAAATTTAGGAAAAATAGGCTAAGGAAGAAATGGAGTAGTACCTGATTTGATGAAGAATTGGGAATATTTGTCTCACATATCCTTCTTGGTTTCCCATATAGATTCCTCAACAGGATGATACTTTCATTGAACTTTCACAAACTTAATATCCTCGGTCTTCGACTTGTGCACATCCCGATCAAGAATTGTAATCAGTTTCTCCTCATATTAGAGGTATTT